ATTGAACTCAGGCCCTTACGCTTGCCAGGGAAGTGTTTATTCCACTGAGCCATCTCCCCGGCCCCAATCTCATATTCTTCTTTTCATTTCTTCTCATTTATTAAAAAAATGTAAAACTCCAAAACAAAGCATAGAAATCTTTCTAAGTTTGTAGGTCACACAAAAAAGAGGTGACACATCAGATTTGGCCCATGGGGTGTCTGTCACTCACTGTCCTCTGTTCTGGACTGAATCCTAAGCAGCACTATACTTAGGGAAATCACCAGCCTCCTCTACCTCTGCCTGTGAATAGCTTCATCCCAAGTAGAAGGATAGGAGAACCCAGCCAGCACCACACAGTCAGGTCTGCCTTCAGTGACCCTTTCATGCAGGATGACAGTTAAAATTCCTGAGTCCCTTGAGAGCTCCTGCGTTGGGCTGGCCTTGCTGTCATTCCTCCATCCTCAGAATGTTAGTCTGCTCCTCCCCTGCCTTGCTACCTAGGACTCAATTCGTTTTCCTAGTGTATAGTAAGTGAAACTAAAACATGACTCCGCCCCCAGAGCTAGCTGTGCTCCTTAGTTACTCACAAAAGCTGGAGCCTGGCTGACAAGAGGCAGTTGCACCCTGCTCAGACCATGTCCTCCGTGCAGACCCTCGGGGGCCCCAGCCCTGGGCAGTCCTGTGTGCTGATTCTGATCTTCACTGTGCTGCTGCAGTCCCTCTGCGTGGCTGTGACTTATGTGTACTTCACCAATGAGCTGAAACAGGTCAGTACAGTGCAGCCTGAGCGACTGTTGGGTTCCCTGCCTGTCTGCCTCTCAACTTGCTTCTCCTTGAAAACCTTACTGCAAACAAAAGTGCGTTTCTCTGTCAGCAGACTCTGCCTGCTGGTGCCTTAATTACTGGGAACTTCAAAAGACTGTGTGCCCTGAAGATACTTGCAGAACCGGCTCTACCAGTTAACTAACATGTGGGCAGCAAAACTCCTGAGGGTTTCTGTTAGTTTTTTGTCTTAAAAGGTGCATGTATCTTACACTGGTAGCAGCTGCTGCCGTTCATGAGAGCTTTGTGCCGAATGCTTTGCAGCTTTGACTTGAGAATTCCTGTGAGCAAGAGTAGCTGCATCAGGGCAGTGTCTGTCCAGGGTCTGGGGTCGAACCTAGGGCTCCCGTGTTGGAGTGCATTCATAAGATACTTGCTGGATGGGTGAACAGCAAGGGTGAAAGGTGCCACTGTCCCACCTGCAGCAGGCCAAATCTCAACTCTGAGCGCCTCGGATTTGCCTTGCTGGCAAAGTCTAAAGTCTCAGTGGACTTTAGACAGACACTGAAGAAAAGTCCGACTTGGGCTCTGCAGGAGCAGAAGCAGCTCTACTGCACTGCTTCTTTGTTCTCAGCCTTCAGGGAAGCTTCTCTCCCCAACTCTTTTCTTTTAAGCTTTTAAATTAATTGATGGAAAGCCTTTATGTAAATAGTCCAGTTTCTTAAAACTGAGCAGATAGAGTAACTAATTGAATTAAAATCAGAACCAAGCCTTGGAATGCCGCATTTGTCCTTCCTCTGAGATTAGGGCTTGGGTGGAGGAAGCCAGGTCCTTGGAATGTTTGCTTTTAGCATTGGGTCTTCCTGTGTTAACAAAAACAAGTGAGAATACAATGAGCTGGTATTCTACGGGCTCCTTTGACACAGATGTGTCCTGGGGAACATTCCTAATAGAGAAGTTATAAGATGGTCTCTGCATCTGTCTGTTCATGCCACTCTATACCTGTGAATCAGTCCAAGCACAAAGACAGAGAAAAACCTTGCTGTCATCTTACTGTGTATATTATTCAACTGTATAGAGTTTCTGAAACTATGAATGCAATACTTAAAGATTTCAATTTCTTATATATATTTTGATGATCTGTACATATTTGTCACAGGGTCTCATTATGCATCCCAGGATGGCCTCAGATCACAGTGAGCCTCCTGCCCCAGCCTCTGAGTGCTGGGACTACAGGCATGATGCATCACCATGCCTGACTTTGACTAATCACTAATAACCTATTATTTAGAACTAAGGGCTCAGAGGAACTTTGGATACCTGATCCTTCCCTCATTTTACAGATGAAATGGTGGAGAGAAGAAGTGGAGCCCTCTCCACAGATCCCCCTAAATGATTCTTAATGCTATTTGTGGTTTGCAAACAGTGATTGTCAAGAGAGTTATGTTTAGGTAGCAGAGAGGGTCAGTGTTGCTATCTCAAAATCTCTAGGGCAGCAATGGAGTCTCTTCTGTTAACCTCAACCACCAGGCCAGTTGGACTTGGCCTAGCCAGCTACCACATTTTGATGGCACCAAGGGCAGTCACTGCAGAAACCCATTTTGCAGAACAAGGGTCTTCCTGAGTTGGAGAGCAGGCTCCCGTGCAAGAGCTATCTCTCAGCAATCACACAACCACCTGCCCCCAGCACCCACAAGTGGTTAGCTAGACAATCGCCCCAGCTTGCAATGTCCTGAAATAAAAGGATGTGGAAAAGAAGGGGAGCAGACACGACAAATTAGTCATCATTTATCACTCATAGAATAGCCACAACACACAAATGGCCACATGTTCAGTCTCCAGCATTAGCGAAGGTCTGCAGAAATCCCAAGTGTTATAATGGAGATGAGCGAGAGCCCTGAGGGTGGTTAAGCCTTCCTCAGGCTTTAGTTCAGAAACCAGTTCTTATGCATAAAGAAGGCTGAATAAGAAAAACGCCAAAGGGGCTGGTGAGATGGCTCAGTGGTCTAAAGCACCTACTTAGAACAAGCTTAGCAAAAAGCACAGGGACAGCGGTTCAATCCCCCAGCACCACATGCCAGCCAGAACGCCCCCTGGTGGGCTGAGCTGGCCACACACACACACACACACACACACACGCACACAAATAAATAAATATTAAAAAAAAAAAAAGAAAGAAAGAAAAACGCCAAAATGTTAACACCTATGAACTCTAGATAGCAAGGTAATGAGTGCCTTTCAATTTTTTCTTTATATTTTATAAATTTTCTACTGTGACTGTTATAAAACATCTGTGCTATCATATATGATTTTCATATAGATTTTAAAACATGACGTTTGTACACAATCTTAAGAGTAAACAGCCATGCACACACGATCTGATCTCCACCCCATAAACAAGAGGTCGTCCAAAGGTTAGCAAGGACATGGGACTGGACTATGAACACTTTTATGAAGTTGTTTTTAATTTGTTTTTATCTGGTTTTGCTTTACATATTTTTAGACTTGGGAGTTGTTATTGTTCTAACATTTTTAAAAGCACACTTCTGTTTCCATGGCTGTCCACACATTCTGAATATATCCAGGCTTCCTTAACTTTTGAACAGGAACAGAGTAACATAGACTTGTTGACCTGCTGTCTCAGGTTGCTGATAGCCACCGTGCCCACCTGACCCAGGGCAGTCACCCCTATCACTTTTGCTCATCACCTTAGCCTGCAGGCTCTCAGCACTTTCCCAATGAGCTCGTTTTCCTAGTAAGTTCGTTTTTATGTAAGAGTTCTTGGGAACCACTCCCTTCCTACTCAGCACACCTTCCTGTCCCAACAAGTTGCAGAGGCTAGTGAGCCCGCTTGTTTGGTTTTATCGACTTCCTCATGCTGACTGATCAGGAATAGTGTTACGAAATTTTCTCTTCTTGGACAAACGTTTGTGTTCCCAGCTCTTCCTGTCTTCTCTGTTCTTCTCATTCAGTTTTTTGGATAAGCTCTCCTATTTCTGAACCATACTAGCTTCCTTCCTTGGAAAAGCTTTTCAGCTGTAAGTAAATTGGACAACTACTTGTTTGCAGCAGAAGCTTTTGGGGCAGGTGCAGGCAGAGAAGTGACATCTGATTCCACAGTTCAGCTCAAGTGGACTCAGCTGTCATCCTCAACCACCTCTCCTGGGGGAGTGTCCTACTCTTGTAATTATAAGAAAGAAAATTGAAAATGAAGAGCCATTTGTTTTAGAGTAAGTGAATACTAGGGTGCATGCAAGGAATTCATTAACTCAGGTTTGTACTTTTGCCCTTGGGCACCTTGATCAAAAGTCCAAGGGACACAGATAAGACTGAGTCGAGCCATGACTTTTCATCACCAGTAGGGCTGTTTTTATTTAAAATGAAATTGCTTTTCTCTAGCTAGGAATGGACCATCTTTAAGTTTGATCTGTTCTTTAGGCTGTGCAGAACCTTACCTTCAAATAATAGGTAAACTTGTTATTATCCTATGTGTTTTCCCAGATAAAAGCAACTCAACACGTTTTACAGGAAAATTATATCTATCAAATCCTGATGGTTAAGGAAACAAAATCAAATGGGAAAGAAATGAAAAGAAAAACTTCTGGTTTGTGAGGTCCTTCTGTCTCTCTTAACTGATCTGAAAACAGTCTAGGTGGTTTAGGGCGTGTGTGTGTGTGTGTGTGTAATATCAAGCAAGGACTTGTTGACAAGGGCAAGGACTTTGTAGTCAGTGATTCCTCTTCCTCAATCAGAAGGAGGAAGCAAATATTCAAATGATATTTAAAGTCTCTGCAGGTAAGTATCTGGCTAGTGTGGGTGTTTAATGGGGCACTGCACAGAATCCTAGTGGTAAGGTAATTCAGATATTGCTATTCAAAGGAATAACAATCTAATCAATAATTGGAATTGGGGCTGAGGAGGTAGCTCAGTGGTCTAAGTGCCTGCCTGGCAAGTACAAGGACCCAGGTTCGATCCTGGTACCGAATGCCATGCCTGCTCTAGAACCAGGTATGGTGGCGCACACCTGTAATCCCAGAGCTGGGGAGGCTGAGACAAGAGGATCACTAGGAGTCCAAGCTGCATAGTGAAAGCCTGTACCAAATAAGTAAACAAAAGGTTTTTAAAAAAACATCGGCATCAACTCAGTCACCAAAGCTCTATGGAAGAGAACATTATCCATGTGCAAAAGTTTGGCTAATGTCATTTAGGATCCTAGAATTTAAACCAACTCTACTGCCTGTGTTGTACTTAGGTGGGTTTTCAGCTTTGGAATGAGACTCTCACCATGTCAGTGCTGGAGGGGACTTCAGACATCTCCACAGGCACCTGCTCAGAGCTAAGGAGGAGCCCACACGGAAGAGGAGAAGCAATGTATCTGGTGACATCCAGCTAATTAGTGGCGGAGGCAGGCCAGGGAAGCATGACCCAGGGGCCCTGACCCACACCTGCATCCTTCCCACCATACTCAACTTTAATCAAAACACAAAGGACAGCTTGCCTACTTTCTTTAAAACATGAACTTATTCAAGGTGCCAAAATTTTCTGAATCCATCATCAGTTTCTGTTGTCTTAACTTCCAGATGGTTAAAAAAATTCATGTATCATACTGTGCTATGTTCCATTTCATCCCAGATGCAGGACAAGCTGTCCAAAAGTGCCGTTGCCTGTTTCCTAAAGGAAGATCACAGTTCCTGGGAGCCCCAAGATGAAGACAGTATGAGCAGCCCCTGCTGGCAACTCAAGTGGAGACTGCATCAGCTGGTTAGAAAGGTAGGTTGACCGTACCAGCAAGCACACAGGGCAGACAAGAAGGAATTTTGCAGATCATCAAGTCTAGATTGTGCATTGTGCAAAAGAGGAAACTGAGGCCGGGTGTGTGTAAGTGATATTCCCCAAATTCATAGAGCTAGGAAAACTGGCAGATCCTGGCTGACCACTGGACCAGAGCTCACCCGCCACCCTCTAGTCTAACCTTTTTTGTTGTACTGGATGAAAACAGAGACACAGACAGGACCATGTATTCCTGGTCACACAGTAATAAGGGATGGCTGGGGTTTTTTGTTATTTTTTTTCATTCAGAATACTTTTTTAAATAATTTTATTGAGAAACAAATAGCAACGAGAAAGCTTCAAAACCAATTACTGGCACAGTTTCTTTTTTTTTTTTTTTTCAAACCAAATTTGTAGGACAGTTTCAATAATTAACACATTGCATACATTCTTCCTAGTGGTTAATTGCTGTACAAGCTGCGGACATGACATCCTATTTACAAACATCATTAGAACAAATCCCTCTATTCATTAAGACAATGTAACTATATATCTATCCCAACCACCCTGAATACACAGATACAAAATGGACACCCATCTGCATCCCCCTTCTTTGCTAAGTTCTGTTATTTGAATATTATAGGTGTGCAAACTCAGTAAAATATTCTAAAAGATTCCAGTAGCCCACAACAGTATTGTGTCTTCCGCTTGACTGGCAATGTCAGAAATTGTTGGCCTGAGTCCCCCACAGCTCAACATAACAGCAGGACTTTACTTCTAATATTTTGCCTCTATACTTTTCCCCTGAATGCGCAAGACCAAGGCAAAGCAGGACCCATGCAACCAGAGTTGTAGCCTTTGGGTCGGACAAGGTCAGTGAAATCCCCTCAGGATCCATGCTGAGATCATGTACCTCAGATTGTGGAACACCTGTCAGCATCAGCCATGTGGATGAGCCACAGCCACTGCCCAGCCAATGTGCTCTCTGCAAAAGCCTGAGAGAATGTTCTCTCTCCATGCAACTCTCCCTAGGCACACCCCACATCATCGACCACTTTCCTCCTTGACCCCATAATCTCCTTGACCAGAAAACCTGGGACACCACAGAGTCACATGACACTACAGTACAAGTTCCCATATGTCCTGAGTCTTAATTGACCCTAAAAGGCTAGGGCCAAAACGTTGGCTTTCCCTGTGGCTTTCCCTTCTCTCCAATTTTGGTCTTCAAACTTAGGTTGCCAACCATCCAGAAGACAAGCCCATTGTTATTACCATACAACTTAGGCTATTAAGCTTAACCTCAATATCTGTTTGAATATCAAACATCTTAGGCATAACATGGAGCAGGTATTTTTCATCAAGTATTGATATGTTGAACTTTAAATCCCTACAGAATATGATGAAAAAACATTTAAAAATTAGAATATATTTTTTAAAATAGGCATAAACAACTATGTAAGTCTTATGTTTACACGTAAGTCCAAAAAACTAAGCATATACAACCTTGAAGCAGGACAGTCTCACAACATTCCTTTTCCTGTCTCCTGCCTTCATTCACC